TGCATGCCGTAATTTGAAAGTAACTGGAAAACAAGTGAATTAATAGACAGGTTAATATACAGACTCTAGTAAAAGAATAGCGGTAGATTCAAACTGTAATAAAAGAAATTTAAAATAATTATGAATTTCAGATTTATTTCCGAGTGAAATATGAATCAAATATAGATGGTAGTGAAATAAATTTTATTGAATATAATGAATGAATATAGTTTAATAAACGATTGAGGTTATATCTCATTCTAATCAATGGCAATTAACTATGAAAAGTTTACTATTCATTTCATGTTTAGAGCATACATATGAATATTTATTTATTTTTTGCACTGTTAAATCCTCTCTTCTCGAACCATGTATCAATTTTTTACATCTAACCTTATTAATATGAGGTTTTATAAATGGTATAAAAAACACGTTTTCCTCCGGGTATCGATTATACAACGTACAATTCGCAAAACAGCAATGCTTTGTTGGCATTATACTAGCACAAAATTATTTTTATATCAGATTTATATTTTCAAATAATAAATTGATATTACGTAAATAACACTGTTTTACATGTGAATAGTTTATGTTTGTCTCTACTACTAGTGCTGCCTCTCGTGACACGATCGCTGTACTATTCCCAGGAAAAAGGCTCATTCTAACGCCATTTGAATCAATGCACCTTTGCCAAAGTGTCTGGGCCTGAAATCGTTCATCGACATTATATAGCGAGCTGAAAATAGCCAAGAAATCAAAATTTGGGAAAAAATGAACAGCATCAATGTATAGAGTACACAATTCTCTGTCGATCATTATATAACAACATGCAGTAGATTAAATATTCCCCGAGATATGGAGCTACAGAAATACATTACATTCAAACGGAGACAACTTTTGAAACAACGGAATATTTGTTGTTTTTTTTGTCTTATAGAGATTCATTATGAGCATTAGGTTCAAATATAAGAAAAGGCATTGTTCCACCATGGTCAGAAAAACCAGCGAAATAATTGTATATTTTCTTCATTTTCTATAATTTTCACCTTCATCCATACTTATTTTTCTCAAGCAATATACTATATTCAACATTCTATATCGTGTTCGTCTTGATGCTAAAATTTCAACAACTCACTATCTACCTACACGATCAATAAATGATAATGAAATCCTAGAACATTTCGTCACACTTTATTCATACGAAGCGAACCTAATGATATATTACCGTCATATTGTGTTACGCGATACATTCCCTCGCTTTATGGATTATTTTGCATTATTGAAGAATATTCATTCGAAGCAATATTATTCATTTCTCCAGAAATTTGATTTTAAAAAAGTCATGAAGGTTATATAGGTCATGAATTCCATTAATATGTATACAGTGTTCTTCCATAAACCTGAGTGAACTGTTTGGACGAAAATGGCAGAGTATAAGATATAGAATTTTACGTTCCCAAATAATATTGGTATTAAGTTGCACTTACATGATAAACACTATTTGCGACATTGTGGATGACGATTAATTCGAATTCTCATCAAATGTCCATATTAATGTAATTTCACATAGATTCTATTGTATCATTTACATTTTATTGATTTTTATTCAGTCATTTGTGAACAAAAAACTCCTAGTTTAACCACATTTGATACATACGAAAGTTATGAATATATTTCAGGTCCCTTCCTGAAAATAATATATTATTGATGTTATATATCGATTTTCATCTTGATTGGTTCACCTTAGCGTATTTGAAGTAACTTCCAGCTATTTTTCGCACTTTTTAGCAAAACCTTCTATTTGAAACTCCTATCATGTTGGTTCATTAAAAAACTAGTCCAGCATCTTGGGCGTCCCGCCATATTGAATATGCAATGACGTCACTTGCTAACTGTGTCATTTATTTCAAACCCATATCATATGGGTTACTGTGGAAATGAAATCGCCATTTTGTAATATCCGCGGCTTATGGATAGTCGCGCATCGTCGTGCGAACCAAAAGTGTGCCAAATTTCAGCTTAATCGGGCACTGCGACAGGTGAAACCAAGTAAGAGCTTTTGAAATGAGATCTGATTTTACTTTGATTGATTAAAACACACTTCTCCAAATTCAATTCTAGGTAAATATTTTCGCAGCAGTCGGTCTTGGCACTCATATCATTTCGTGTACTCAAAAAGGAGAATATAAAGAAGAGTCTGAAAAAAGTGTTGATCTCATTTTTTTCAGATGGTGGTGGGCGCGGAGAGAAACGAATAGTGCCTTTCACATTTCGAAAATTTAACAGCCTGATTGAAAATTAGAACTAGTAGAACTACTGTATCTTTATAAATGAACCATATCTTTTTGTCTCTATTCATAGGTACTCATTTCTTATTGACTTACTTGTGATTGAATAAATAGTTATGATAGCCGTATCTCGTATCGCACCTCATGAAATACAGGTCTATTTGAGAATTCCTCCAATTATAAACAGGCGGGTCAAATCGAACTTTCCGATATTCTAGTGAATTATCTGGTTATCCAAAAATTAATATTTTCTGTTTTTGTAAAAAACTCTGCTGAAGATTTGAAAATCTAGCCCCTGTCTCTGCATTTGATTATTTGCAATAGGCTTGATGACTTTGATGAATGTAATATCGCAAACCTCTCAACATTTTTATCATACCGGTCAGTAGTATCGTCAACTGAAGTACCAAATCAAATGAAATAGAATCGAATTTAGGCATTGAAATGTCTGTATTGTGTTGTATCAGTGATTCAGATAAGAGTTCTTTATGTACATTTTATGAGAAAATATGACAATCCCCAGACAAGAAACGATAATGTGAATTTTTTTTTCCGTTAACCAATCATCGCACCCCTACGAACGACAACCCTCAGAAATCTGAACTTATGCGAGCTAAGGACTAACGAGGTCTTTCCTTTCAACGTGTGATCCCTAACACTTCATATAATCACCAGAAATAAAATTTAAAACTCATAGAGGAAACAAAAAAAATTTTGATATAAATTTATTATATGCGTGTATAAGAAAAGATATACTTAGATGGTATCGGAACTGTTATTCAATGCAGAGAATTTATTTCTTTTTTCAGTACATGTCAATTTTTTTTGAGTTTTCGATTATGAATCGCTTGAGGATATTATTAATATTTTTCATTGTCTTCAATTCCACTGCGAGTAGGTTGTACATTTTTGAACCATAATAGAACACGAATTTTTGTTTATGGCTTTTCTTGTAGGATGGTATTTTAATTTTTGAATTTTCGTCTGGTCTAGTTCTCACTGTTGTGAGAGTTACACAGTTGTTGAATTTTAAGAACATCCGAACTAGACATTGGTAATTATATAATGATCTTATGTTGAGTAAATTAGTCTCTTGAAATGTTTGATCCGTTTGATCCATCTATCATTTTCAAAAAATTGAGTTTTGTGTTATATTCGTAAGCTTTTGATGTGGTTGATGAGAGTACCACCAATGCTGTTATCTCATTATGAATTCTGTCGAAAACTAATATATTATAAATTAGCGGACCCGGCGAACGTCGTTCTACCTAACAGTCAATGAATGGGCAAATTTTGGACTTCAAAATCGATACTAAATAATTAAGTGTGATAAAATAAATGGTATTGGTATATAATGAAATAAATGAGAATTGGTAGTAAGAGTGCCCTCTTCAGTTAAGCATCCTGTGAGCTATCAGTTGCGTTTTATTATAACACGTCACTTTTATCACTGATGTTTTTCCCCTTGCCCATGTTTCAATACTCATTATTCTATTCCCGATGAAGACAAATCTAAAAAGACAAAATACATAAAAATTGGTCCAGCTTTTCTTGAGTTCTTTTATTATTGTTATTATCATTATCAATATTATTTTCATGGATGAAATATCATATTTCAATACTCATTATCCTATTGACGAAAAAGACAAATCGAAAAACATAAAAAATTGGTTCAGACGTTCTTGAGTTCTTTTATCATTATTATTTTTATTGATGAAATATCATTTTCAATACTTATTATTCTATTCACGACGAAGACAAATCCAAAAACACAAAAATTATAGAAAGTGGTCCAGTCGTCCTTGCATTCTTTTATTATAATTATCATTGATAAAATATCCAGGCATTTACCATCAACACTTTCTGTCCAAATTATTTTGTGCAATTTAAGTTCATTAATATGCGGCTCATCAACTGAATTGAGTAAAAAAGCCACAAATTTTGTTTTTTGCACATTCAAACTCAATAAATCATTATTCAGACCTCATCCCAACTTGTACCAGTCAAGATCATGGCCGTATCGTCAGCATAATATACTATATGGCCTTCAAATTTATCAATCTGCGTCATTGCCTTTATGTGCGCAAGAAAAAGGATCCGGCTAAGTACTGTTTCCTGAGGTTGTAATGTTGCACTGAGCTCCCTATTAACTTCAACATATTGTTTTTGTTCTTTCAAATAATCATGCATCAGTTCCAAAGCATGACCTCTAATACCATTATCACAAAATTTTTTGAGTAGAGTTTCATGCGACACAGTATCGAAAGCCTTTGTCGGGTCTATAAATATCCCAAAACATTTCAAACACTTGTTCAAAGCCTCCACTGTTTGTGTCACGAAATCGAGCACGGTCAAGTCAGTATTTGATTTGTTCATGAACCTGATTTGTTGTTGTGTTATACTGAAGAAATTTATTATTTGATTTCTTACAGATTGTTCAATTGGTTTTGCAAAATCATTGATGACAGACATTGGTAATTGCACATATAATTTTGACTTTCCACTGCGACGGTATATCACCTTCTTTGTAACACTTCATCAAATGAACTAGTGTTTTTATCGATGACATATCTTTACCTTCCTATTCCTATAAATCAAGCTGGGTGATGATATGATGACGCGTTACTGTTTACTCCTAAATCCAGTCATGACTGTTGCAATATTCATGCTCATGCCGGACATTATGAAGGAATAGACCGAAACATGATCTGATGGAAAAATAATGAGACTCACCTCAGAAGACGTCAAGTAACATAGTCTTGAATCGGCACTTTCAACAGACGCTTGTTGAACTATTCCATATCTGGAAGACTCCCTATCACTCATGTAATCAGACCTGAGACTGTCTTGTCTGTCAAACATGCCTCTGTAAGAGGAAGAAAAATGAAGTCAATTAATTCACATTTCACTGACGAGAAATATCATGCATGAAATATCAATATCAAGCAGAGATTAAATACGAAATCAAGCAATAACTATATCGTCAAAAATACACCATCGATAGTGATTGATACTGATCATTTTTGGTTTGTATTATTTTTCGAACTGAGCAATTGATTCAGTGCTTAGGACAATCGTAGGGATTTTTTCACCAGAACATTCAATATGGAATATATTCGTCTTCGATACTGAACGTTTTGTACTCACTTGGAAAGCTCTGCGTTGAGCTAGACAGATTAATTAGATTTTCAAAAATTCATGAAATCTCATCCCTTTCTCATTCAAACATTCTAGAACAGTTGTAGAGGGGGTTAGAAAGTAATGCTTGACAAACTTGATTCTATTCATAAAGTGCAATCCATCTTCATACAAAAAAATTGAGAAGTAGGAAGTCAAAACCCTTTTTTCCTAAAAATTATTCTTTCCTAAAAATGTACCATTCAATTAAAATATATTCATCGTTATATATTAACTGAATTTTATTTTGTTTCATTTTGTTTTAATTTCATAATTAATTGGATATTCTCTCACACATTCAAACTACCTAGTCATCAAAATTATTCAATTAATGTTCAACTTAGAAATATGCGGAGTCACTGAAAGAGTAAGTTTTTCAGATTCACATCATACAGATTATTCATTCAAATTACCGAAAATCTATTCCAGATTACTTATTCGATCAAACCATAGCGGACTGTTTCCAGATGTTCAATTTTCTTGTTCTCATCTTCATTGTTATATTTTTCTTCTTTCTTTTGAAACTTTTGTATGTTTCATATATTGATGGAGAGAATCATAGACAGAAAAACGTTTATTGTCTCCAATAATAGGAAAACTACAGGACAACCGCTTCATATCGAAAGTGAAAATTAGATATGATTGGATTAGCCGTATTCAAGAAACATTTCATCGTGAGATTTTTCACTGAACAATTTACAAAATCACAACACGTGTTTCGCTATATAATTTCAATTTATGATAAGTTTCACATTCAGTTTGAAATTAGTATAATTGAACTCTTTTCATTGAATTTAATTGAAAAAATCATAAAACTTCCAACTAGTCATATAAACCGNAGATAAATGTTTCTGTTATTGGAAAAAGTTTGCTCCGAATTCATCCTGGATAGTTTTTCCGGATAGTTCTTACCTACAACACGCATAAACTGAAAAACCAACACTAGACAAATAGTTTTGATAATTCCAGATTCTTATAAAATATTTAGTTAATAATTTCTCAATATTTCGATTAGTAAACAAACCAGTAATCACTGTAATTTACCACAAAACAAAACATCAACAACCTTTCTAATCATCCTCATCGACACGAATTAGTCTCATAGCATAATCTACAGACTCATCAGTATCCCGATATCTCCAGATAGTTTTATTGGGAAACTGAATATTATTAAACAAATTCGATAGGATCACAGCATAGGTAACCTATGCGATCAAAGCATAGGTAAAAATTGTTACCTACAAAACACTTACATATACCAAAAAATTATTAGAAAATATGAAAAGATTACTGACTGAATATGACATTATCATAGAATACAAATCTGGATCATCTTGGGTAGTCACATGAAGAACAAAAAATCATTTTCGAAGGCAACATGATAAATTATGAATAAACATTCACATTAAGTGCATTTCATTACTTCGGACTTCCATTGTCTTATATAATATAGATTGATTTAAAATCCCTGAAAGACACTATAAAAAATCAAAGAGATTAGCTGAAAAAAAGCAAATATATTAAGCAAAAATGAATAGTCAGATCTCGGAGGAATAAGTCCAGTTATCTAATATTTTGTTCAATCGTTCTATTTTTATTTGTGTTTTATTCCACTATTCTTTCATTTCAGGTTATTTTTGCTTAATATAATGTTATTTTCAGCTATTCATTTTTATTTCTCCTTTTTTAGCTGTTTCAGGGATTTCAAATCATTTTATATATTAGACAAAGTAAGTCCGAACTAGTGAAATACATCATGAAACATTGTCAATCACCTTCAAACAAACCTTTCATTATGCAAAACACTGAACCGTCACATAAACAGCAATAATAACATCATATTCTGGAAAATCCTTCAAGTCCAAATGGAATCAAGTAAGTCACATTCAAGATGCATAGAAACATTGGTGTTCCTATCGATTTTCTTTTGTTTTGTCGAAAACTTTTTACGAGACAAATGAGATCTACAGAACTTTGTAAACACTTTGACAGATGGCGCGAGAATCGAAATCTGTTCAGATTCTCAAATTATGGACAATACTGTGAAAAGTCATTCGTCTGGTATCAAATAATTTCCAAATGTAGATAACATTAATAATGTAAATGCCAACTTGATATTGTCAAGCAGTGTGACTTAAGATTGAGTACACCTTAAGTCACCTCTATGAATGAAATGCTGAAATTTATTGAATATCTTAATTATTTCTTCATCAAGCGTGCTCTAGTTCTTCATCAAGCGTGTTCTAGTTCGAGAATTTTCGACAATTTTTTTTACATGGGAAAAATGTCTAAGAAATCAATCAAACCAGGGATATCCTATGCATCTTAGTCATATTGGTCGACAGATCTGCGTGAGATCTACGCGTGTGAGTCGCCAAGCCAGTGTAGAGGCATCTTTGGGCCAATCAAAAAAACTATATATTGGCCACTCAAAAAACTTGGTGAGAGCCTCTTGTTACGAGTATATCGATTTTCCGGTGCTGCCATCCATCGTTGGATCATTTAAAAAAGCTTCCTTTCAGTTACATAGTTTGCCTGTATTAAAAAAAAGAAACTACAAAGAAATAAAGTTTTATTCTATTCCAGTTATTGATCTACTCCACAATACGAGTGAATCTACTGAAAAAAACTTTTCCAACACCAGAACAAAATTACGGTCTCTCGACGCGCGTTTTGCTAACCAAGTTAGCGTACTCAGAAAGCATAATGATCTCCTGAGAACGTTAACTTGGTTAGCGAAACGCGCTTGGCAGACCGTAATTTTGTTCTGGTGTTGGGAAAGTGTTTTCAATAAATAAATTTTACGCCAGAGGTGCCAGTACGAACTATCAAGTCAATACGAATAAGATGGTTGACGTGATTTTGAACCACAGGTTCACATAAACGAAGTTTCTGCATTACTAAAAGGTGGCAGGCTGAATTATATTGAACAAAGAATGTGTTGTTACCTGAGGGTCATTTCTGTGAAAAATGGTGAATTTTTCTGTTGTCGATAAATTTATGTCACATGTGGCAACATAATGAAAAACTTATCTTCACTAGAATACAACTCTTTCGTGAAATCGTGGAATCTCTTTCATCTTCTCATTCAGGACAATTGATTACAGCATGTGCCTTCATCCATCGGCCGAATTTCAAAAAATTTCTGAAAACGATGAAATGAGAATAGCGCCCACATCGAACACATTCGTTCCTAATTTAGCCACGAGTGGAAAAGTTGGAACGGAATTAGTATTCACTCGCCTCAGAAGTTGATTCAAATTGCAAACGAATCTTTTGGGAGTGAAAAGGTCACGGTAATAGTTTCTTCATATTTCTCTACAACGCCAAACCATATTTTTGTGAGGTAAAATAAAAAATCTTTCAACATTTGTTAACTACAACTATATAGATGATTATTCAACATCCTCAAACAACCCGGGTATTTGATTACTTCGAAGTTATTGGTTTCCTTCATCTTTTTGTTCCTGCTTATTCTTACGTTACTCTATTTTGTAATTGTCATCAATCTCATCACACCCCAAGAAGTCTCAACCATAATTCCAAAACTGCATAAGCTTTCTGGTGTACTTTTTTTTGGACAATTACAAGCACTACAGGAAACTCCTCAAATCGCTATAAGAGCGGTGCCTGTGCGATTCATTTTGGATTTGAAACACCGGAGATCGAATCCATTTGGAAAAACGTTTTCAAAATCTGTTTTTCCGTTAATTAGCTGTCGCCCCCATACGAACGACAACTCTCAGAAGTTGAGAAATTTGTGCTTGCTAAGGGCTGACGAGGTCTTACCTTTCAACGTGTGATTCCTGAAACGGAAGTTTATTTCACAAAAACGCAGTTCTCCAAATGAAAGAGTTCTTAAACAGTGAAATTCGAGGTGTACTGAGTTGAACCTCAAAACGATGAGCAGCCACAGTCCATCGCGTTTTTCTGATATGTACCGCTCTTGGTGAAATCAAATGTGCCAAGTGACTTGAACACTTTCCGTGAAAGTATTTATAAAAGAGAGTCAAATCTCCAACCTTTCTTCAATTTTACAGACTGTCAAGGTTGCAAGTGATGTTCGCGTCTTTTATCAGGCGAATGGCTCTCTTCTGGATGGAATCCAGCAGCTTCAGGGTATATTTAGGAACGGAGCTCCATACATGAGAACAATACTCCAAATATGGTCTGATTTGAGCTTTATAAAGCATCAAAAGTTGCTGAGGTTTGTACAGATGTCTGGTTCGGAACAGTGTTCCGAGATTTTGAAAAGCAGCCTTTGCAATTCCAAAGATATGATTGTGCCAAAAATTTTATCGAAGCAGAAAGCACAATTGCCTATCCTGACATCTATACATCCGGTTCGAAAACATTTATCTTTTTGGAGAAAACCAATGCCTGTGTTTTTATGGTTACTTTCACCCCAATTCGAAATCACTTCTAGATCATCATTAAGACATGCACCAAGAGGTTCCTGTTGCCGGTGAAAATGTGAATCAGCAGCCGATGTCCTGGAATCTAAATGGAATGACGAGACAAGGGTGCTGTCGTCAGCAAAACAATATATTGGATTCTTGGTTTTTTCCAATAAGTCGTTGATATACAATAAAAATAGGGTTGAAGCCAATATAGGTACCTTAGGAACACCAGCGTTGATGGTGAAAATATTTGAGGGATATCCATCGACGCCGACTTGCACGAAACGATTTTCAGAAAGCTACAGAGACACACACAAATATGGGTGATAAACGATAGAAGATCGCCTGTTGATCTTTTATTTCAAAAGAAAAGCCATATTGATGATCACTCAAGATGTTATAGCCTTTCAAATATTCAGAGATATGGTCGTTTTCGGCTTCCTTCATGATTTTTGATATAACTGATAGCAAAGCGACTGGTCTTTAGTTATTTGGAATATATCGTTCGACCTCAACATATTTTTCACGACGCGTATTTGTTTATAAATTATTCATTATTGTTATCAGTCTATGGATGAACCGAAACGAAACGAAAGTTAACGAAACACTAAGAAGCAATCACCCAAACATTGAAGATCTTTCGAATTATAATTTCCAGTACCATTCAACTGCCTTCACTTACCTCTGCTCCAAACTATCAGTCCTAGCACTTTTGTATCCGCTGTCATTCATACTGCTATCTTGTCTCAATGAGGGAAGTGAATCCCATGGTGATCTTTTGTGTCCTTGAGGTACGCCTTGTCCAGAACTGAATGTCGAGCTTCCTGATCTCCAGCCATCAGAATGTCTGAACCACTGGGCTCTGCTGGATTCCCCAATGCAGGAAGCACATCTGGAGCTGAAACTGTTGAAATAACATTCTAATTTATCGATCATTATTGCCTTTCAATGTGAACAAAACTGGTTTCAAGGAAAATTTCGATATTTGTAGAAGTTTCGGAATATAGAATTCAATTAGTCTTTTTGTATATTCGTCATTTTCACCTGTTCCATTGAGGCTACAGGAAAATTGTGAGCAACTGTTTTCTTTCCGAAATTTAGTTGACTCTACAATATTCACGACTTTTGAAACGATATTTATCAGAAATTTCAATGTTTCATTCTGAACAGTTTCCTCAAAATAATGTATATGTTCAATTGAGAAAAGGGACTGCAGTACACGTTGAAAACAAAGTAAAACACTAATACTTCACCTTGACAGACATTTCTGTATTTTTTTTGTATCTTTTTGTTCGTTTATATAATGAAACAAATACCTTCCAATATATATTTTGATTCGTGAACAAATTGACACCGTATATCCACTCATTTCTACTAGCCATGAGCAAAAACAAGTAGGCAATACTACTTGAGTATATGCCACATGTTTCAAACTTTCAACTTGAATTTTCGATTTCATGAATGAGCAGAATAAGCAGGAGTTGGTTTTTTTTGCTAACAGCGATGAACATATTCTGACATTCAAAACATGCGGCATGTATTCGTCTATGTTTGAAATTCAATAAAAAATATGTTTCATCACGTTAACAAATGGCTGAAGAATAATATTTTTTCGGATCGTTTTTTTATATATGTCCCATATTTTTTGTTCAATGTAAAAGATTTTTTTCATATTTATTGTCATAGTAACAAGGGCAGATTTTTATATTCTGATGGAATGAAATGGTAATGTTACCAGAAAAATGAGTGCCTCGTCTTATGAGGTTATTCAAAACGGTACTGATGAAGTGGTGAGGCAAATTTCTTGTTCCGAAACCTCAAAATACACGATTGAGGCTAATGGTGTTCTGAGTTACATTTTATACTCTTTCATATATTACGCCGTATAGTGTTTCTAAGAATAAATCTGTTTAATTTCCATAACAAATATTTGTAGTACAAACAGAATAAGAAAAAGTGAGTTAAATGTAATTCGATTTCCATATGAAAATTATTATTCCGAAATGACTTTTTTCTTGGGTATTTCAATCTTCATGAGAAAATAGAGGTTTTTTTCCGGTTTGAATATGGGATAAACCTCCCTTTTCTTCGGAAGTTTCTCACATTTTTTGTTTCAATGATGGAGTAGTAGAAAGAAAAAAATATCTTTCTGAAGAAAATCAATCTCACGAATCGTGCCATCCATATCATGAATATCATTGGTGAAATTGAAACACTGCCGCTTTCAATGATAAGCTTCCTGTGGCATATGATCAACAAAGCATTCCCTTTTGATGTAATTTTCATAAATTTCCTGAAAAATGAAAGTTATTGTTGTCGAATGGTGAACAAGGTCATGGAGCCAAAGCTTTAGCAACAATAGCGAACAAGAGTGAACGAGCATTCTGCATCTGATAAGTACGGGCTAGCGAGCGAGCGAACGTATGCTTGTTCGCGTTCAGAAAAGATCGAGAAGAAGGCGGTACATCAAAAGGTTCTCGCACAAAGTAGATGGATCAACTACGACTACATACTTGAAGATATTCGCTCTGGTGTGGACGAGACATCAATATGTCGAGCAAACACGAGCGAACACGAGCAAACATACACAAATGCTCGCTCATGCTCGTTCGTGCCAGCTTTTATGGTGAATACGCACCTTTAGACAGATTATCGACGAATCTATGAGTATTCTTGATCGAGATGGAAAGTTTGCTAGTCTTCACTAATAATTACTATTCCAAACAGCGACTTATTGCTGACAAAAAACTGAGTATTGTGGAGACAAACAGAGCATTATGTCACTGATACTTCAAGTGTGTTGATTAAAATTGAGGTGACTAAATTATAGAGGTATATTTCGATATAATGTTGAAGAAGTAATCCATGTTTGAAGTAAAGTGAAGGTGTTTTGTTGAAAACAAAAAATGGCATCTTGATAAATTCATTTCCAACAACAGGACAATACAAGTATTTTCATCATCACTTGTATCCTTTAAAGGACAAAACACAAGCACCTCAGAAAAATCCTTAAGGCGTTCTCAGAGCGCTGCCTGTGCAGAAGAAGCAATTTATATTGGATTCTCAATATAAATTGCTACTCATCTCAAAACGATGAGCAGCCACACTCCGTCGCGTATTTCAGATACGTACCGCTTTTGGTGGAATCAAATGTGCCAAGTTACTTTTACACCTCCCGTTAAAGTATCTATAGTAGAGAAACAAATCTTCAACCTTTCTTCGATGTTCCAGGCTATCAAGGTTGCACGTGATGTTCGAGTCTCCAATCAGGCGGATGGCTTTTTCTGGATAGAATCCAACAACTTCAGATCATATTTGGGGGCAGAGCTCCATACATGAGAACTCCAAAGAAGGTCTGATCTGAGTTTTTTGAAGTATAAAAAGTTGCTGAGATTTGTACAGTTTTCTGGTTCGAAACAGTGTTTCAAGCTTTTGAAAAGCAGCCTTCGCAATCCCAATTACATGATTATGCCAAGACATATTGGTGTCAATTTTAACCCTCAACAAACTTATCGAAGCAGAAAGCGAAATTGTTTGACCTGACATCATTATATCCGGTTCGGAGACATTTATCTTCTTGGGTTTTTGTGGCATTAAATTGAACCTGGTTACTTTCACCCCGATTCGATCCTTATAAAGATATGCAACCTCCTGCTGTCAGTTAAGATGTGCCTCTGTAGCCGATGTCCTGGAATCCAAATGGAATGACGAGACAAGTGTGCTGTCGTCAGCAAAGCAATATATTGGTTCCAATAAGTCGTTAATATACAATAAAAAAAAAGGTTGGACGCAATATGGATTTCTGGGAAACACCAGCGTTGATGGTGATAGTATTCGAGAGATATCCATCGACGGCCACTTGCAGGGAACGTTCTTTCAGGAAGCTGAAGAGCCATACACAGGCACTGCCTGAGGCATTGATGGCGTTAGTTGCTACACAAGTAAAATATACAGGTTGAGAAAGGTTTCATACTATAAGATGTACATAGCTATAGATCTGAATTTGAACTCGAAATCAGGATCATCATGAAAGATGATGCAAAACATCAATTCAACATGAAATCAATATTATTGAAGCCAATAAGGATACAATTGATGATACTGTAGCCAGTAAGGATACAATTGATGATGGACATAAAATATTTTGCTCTGTTTATGGAAATACATTTGTGGAGATGATAAATATATTTTCAAACGTATGATTGAAGTTGCGTGCCACAACACTGTGTATTGCAAGCCTTTACTAATGATAGAACTCATATGTGGAACAAATGAAAACTGGTTATCGGCAATAATTTCAATTTCTCCTATGTTTCCTGATCTCCTCTCTATGTTATGTACAACAATGATATAATTATGATATTATAGTGTTTTTATTCTCGCAAAGGTCATGAAAAAGCCTGTTCCTAGATTCGAAATTATATCATTACTTAGGCACCATGAATGCTAACAGGTAAGTTCTTGTTCTAACACAATGTAATACCGATTTTTACATATATTCAAAAATAGTTGAATTCGATTCGGAAACCACATTGTATACAAGAAATAGAACAAAATCCCAAAAATATGAGTGTAATAAATCAATGGAGCAAACAATATAAATAATCACTTCTTCACATACATGACAAAATTCCGAGCAATATTGAAATGATAAGATCACTTCCTTCATTCAAGGAGGTTGTGAAAAACCCAAACAATTTTCCGATTATGTAGTGAATTTTCAAACATCATATCTCAATATGCAAACAACTAGTTATTTGAAAATATTCAATGATCTTTACAAAAATTTATATATTCCGTAGGGTTGTATTTCTTTATTCGTCTCATAATTATGGTTTTATGTGAAATTTTGACGAAGAAACTTCATTATTACCTACTATCATTCAAACAAGATTGTGACGTGTGTCGGATATTTTTTATGAATATGCACGAAATGATATTTTCTTCCAAAATACACATCATGAAATTATAAAACAGAAATTTAAATTAATTGGCGCTCCGGGGCGACTTCATTGATTCCAGTGGCGCATTTGCTTTTTCAGCTGCAGGAAAACATTGAAAAACCTGCAGCACCATATTATCTGAAGATTTTGATTTGCTAATGTCCTCTCTCATGAAACAAAATGTAGGGTGTCTCCAGAGGCTCCAATATATTCAATACATCGGCAGAACACGAAATGATTGAAATTATCAAGTTATTTCATTGAACAGTATGAATGTTTATATTTCCTCATTCGATTCTTTGAAGATTGGCTGTTACAGCATGTTGATTGTGATTTCACTCGAATACTTTTTTTTCATGTTATTACCATTGACGATCATTATCATCATCCATACTGAATACGTTTTATGAAAAGCATTTCCAGAATTGAGTGGTGAAATATTTTCTATGAAAAGAGTTTTGTGAAAATTGACATCACCTTGAGTTGTGGTCACTCAGATATCCTCGTTCTCTTTCCCTTTCTTTTTCTCTTTCTCGCATGAGTTCATTTCTATCGCTATAGTAACCATCTCTCTCTCTATCTCTATCTATAGTTCTATCTCTAGAGGAACTGATCCGATGTGATAAAGGTAAAGTGGATGACTTGTTCATGGAAGCACTAGATGACGGCCCTGAAAAAGTTATTTGTTATAATTTCTCCTCAGAATGAGTAAAATGATAACAACAGAAAATATGCTGTGTCTATAACAAAAAATAGATTACATTGAAATGTCAAAACAGTGACAAAGGGTATTAGAGATAGGTAGTGAATATGTTATTTGCTAGTATTTAGTATCAAAATTTTATATCTGTTCAAATCAGTTTATATAAAAATATTTGGGAAAGCAGTGAAAGCAGAATTGTATAACGTTAGTAAGATTAGTGACTGGTTAGTGAAATAAAAAATGTATTTTTTTTCAATCTGACTGAAATTTTCAAACATTTTATATTTTAACACAGCCATCAATCTCATTAATAACATTGTCAGTATTAACATTTCAATATTTTTTTCTATATTTCAATCCAAATCATCGGCTCGTAGCTCCCTGATAATGATAGTAACCAGTGACGAAATTTTGGACTTTTGATGCAGGTGACTGCTCACTTTTACTTTCTGAATTATTACTACCAGACATATTTCATTTCCGGAAATTATTTATTTAGTAAACTGTTGTAAACACAAATGTATACACTATATGTATCTGACCTCATTGTGGAGAGAAAGATAGCGTAACGCCGAACCGTAAGGAGAGAATCACACAGTCGCTTATGCATGGCGACCTATCGCCACGGCATGCGTCGCCACGCCAGCAATCGATTTAACGTAATGTTTAACATCAGTTATACAGAACTCAAAATAGAGCCGTATGGAACATCGTAAGAAATTCTCCTCTCTCTTGTCAAAAGCCTTTGGAATTCGAAGAAAGCGTATCAAAATTTTTATTGTTATCCATATTCAATGTTATTATTGTGAACAGATCTAAAGTAGCTACTTCTGTTTCTCGTAACTTTGGAAGGCTATTCTGATATTTACTCAATCAATTTAGATTTTCTGAGAAAAAGATGATTAGCTTTTCCATTAATCTTTCTGAAATTCATAAAATTTCTGTCGGGATTCATATCGGCATGTGAAAGGATTTGATTATGTTATTGACAGTGTTGATTTACGATCGTTAATGGAAATTTATCAATAATTTTTTTACTTACTTTTTCTAGATGGATACGGACTTCTTTGTGTTGATCCCGGTAAACTTTCCGCGAACTCTGAAAAAAATGGAATGAAGTGAAAGTTACCAACATTGAAATAATACATAGATTTTCATAAGGTTCAATTACTGTGAATTTATTTAGACTTCAGGATTATATGGATTTTTTATTACGGTGCGAATGAAAAAGGATATATTTTATTTGAGAGTTATTTTCCTAAAGAACACATGAGATTTGTTCAATAAAAATTATAGTTCAGTGTATAGGTTTGCAACTATAGTATATCATTGAAGTCACCCCTCTGTAAAGAGAAGATGAAATAGTAGAAAGCCAATACATAAGTTATCCATTCTCGAACATTCGCATTGAAAACGATCGCAATTGCGACATTCCAATCCAGGTCAAAATGCAGCAACAACAACAATACATTCCCTAATAGGGTCATTCAGTCAATTCTAATTTTTTGAGAAATGATTGCTGCTGTAGCTACTACTTATTTCTGAATTGCAGGGGTTATATTTTTAGGAGTGATTAATTTTTGGGATAGAAAGTTTTTGGCTTTCTACTACTCCATCTTGATACAAAAAAATGTGGGAATCTTCCAAAGAAAGGAGGGAAGCAATCTATTTGAAAATAAGTTACTCTATATATTGATGTGTAGATCATGCAAAGAAGTAACTTTCAGACACAAACTGGAAAAAAGCCCTCCTGAAACAGCTACTTTCATAGACATCGATGTCTACCAGTAAGGATGACAGTGTTCCATGCAAGTGCAATTTGTTACCATTCATTTAAAGGCGAACTCCTGTGAATGATATCTGAATTTATTCCATAACGAATGTTTGGAATACAAACTGAGTAGAGAAACGTATCTTTTGTATAATTCAGTGTTCATATAAAAGTATTTGTTTCGAAAGAATTTTTTCTTTCATGTAATTCAATGTTTATGTTTCAGGAGAGATTTCTTCCAGTTTGTGACTGAAAGTTACTTCTTTGCATGATCTACACATCCATGTATACAGTTACTTATTTTCAAATTGATTACTTCCTTCCTTTCTTTGGAATATTCCCATATTTTTTTGTATCAAGATGGATTAGTAGAAAGCCAAAAACTTTCTTTCCCAAATACTTATTTCTATTCTTCTGCTTTTCACCTCTGTTCAATCTACTTCCAATATTTTAGTAAAAAACATTTTTCCACAGAATATTTTTCCTGTAAATTTGGTATCCTGTTTGTTCAAATATTTCGGTGATAATTGAAATATTTGACTCATAAAAGAAGATGATATTTCTTGTTAGAATTGAACTGAAAAAATTAAATTTGGAAAAAAGTTTTCGCAATGTATTTATTAGTGATTCATATCTGTCATTTCATTTTGCATTGCTAAAATATTGGTATAGGTCATTTTTGTATTGAGGTAAGTAAGTAAAATCCACTTCTTCATTATTGTGTTCTGAAAATAGTGATGGCATTTCAGTTAAAAAATTACTGAAGTATATGTAAACATTCGACTTTTTCCAACGATTTCTGAAAGCGGTAGTTTTTCAGACTATAAACTTGAATTTAATCAAAGAACCTGACCTTTTCATATTCATTTTATTCACCTTCTGAGTAACAGTGAGAAAACTGAAAAGTGTACTGATTGACTCCTTTGTTCAAAAATCTAACTTGAATTCCATAACTTAGGTTTGTCACTTCTGAGGAACAAATGAACACGCGAAACAATGGAAAATTAATTTTGATAATCTATTTTTCATTCAATGACATTAATTTTCACTCATATAGAAACATTCCAGAATGACCCATCATACTAAATATACAATATTTTTCTGATTATTGGAAGTGACTTTCATTTTTATTGAAAATCAAATCAAAATGTTTGAACGGAAAATCCTACTCATTTGCTCATAAATTATCTAAAATATATCTAACAATGTGGTCGAAATAAGCAGGGCCAGCATATGAAAATCCGAAACTTTAAGAGGTACGATGCCGGTTAAATTGAAAATGATGCCCATTTTGAAGCTTATGTGACTGCCGTTTCAAAATTTAAGATTTCGATTTGTTGCTAAATATTTTATTGGCCCATGTAAAAAAATTAAATCGATTGGTTTTCGAAGACTAAACGTCTGATTTAAAATCTGTAAACTCAAGCTTGGGCCGCTTAATGAGTTTTTTGTTTTTCAGTATCTACTTCAATAATGTCAGAGAAGCAATTCAACGAAATTGATGAATTTCGGTTCGTTTCTAATATCTTCGAAACCGAAAAGTTTTGAGTTTTAAAACTTCAAGGAGCACTGCAATGGGCATCTTTTTTCCCAATTCTATCACTGTGTATATTTCCAATTCTTCTATGCTGCCCCTTCTCATGTTTGTACACAGCATGTATTTCACTCATCAACTTGAGTGAAGATACTTCACGTAATGTAAAATATTCACTAAGATGTCTATACACTGGTGTAGGGACTCATACGTGCACAGTTTTCTTGCAAATCTGTCGACCAATATTGCTAACATGATTTCAGTTACGCGGGGCGCTTTATTAAAAAAAAAAGCTAGATACCATTAATTTCGCTGTCCGTGTGACGAAACAGTGTTGCGTATTCTACAAGTTAATATGTAAATTGAGGAGCAAATGTGAATTGAGATGACACTAATATAAAATATGATTCCAATTTTGATTTATTTCAAAAACAAGCACTTTTACCAAACGATTTGGCGTGTTCATTTCCTGACGTGCGTTGATAAGTTGGCCTCTTCAGTCGCTTGGTGAAACATGCGTCGAGAAGATTATTGCATTTTCGGTGTTTGTAAAAACTGCTTGGTTTTAAAACCATACTATGTCAGTGATTCCAGTTTTACCTATTATGATTTGAATTACTTTTGTGAATTCATAGGAATCTACAAATATCAACGGTATTTATCATCAACTACATGTTTAACCATATTTCAATTTCATGTGAATATTGAAATGGTTAGTGAACACGTTCTTTTATTCTGTTAAACTGGACTGAAATCAAAGTATTTCACAAGTAATAACACATTTGTGAACTTTTGTTTGAAGGTAGTTGACAATGTTTCTTGGTGCATTTCATTAGTTCGGACTTCCGTTGTCTAATATGATATAGATTAAACGACAATTCTCAGAAGTTGAGAAACTTGTGCGAGCTAAAGACTAACGAAGTCTTACGTTTTAACGTACGATTTCTAACACGGTTGCAGAATCATCCCAGCTTCAACCAGATAAATGCTCTCGTGAAAAATATCTGGTCAAGGCGGGAATCGAATCCACGGCTTTCCAATCGTGAGTCGGGCGCACTACCACTGTGGCCAATTTCGTCTGCAGATAGGAACACTGTCGTAAATAAAATTACGCATTGCGTACAGTTTATAAAAAAGAACTTCTGAAAATTAAGAGTTCGGAGAAATCTGGGACTGGTGCGGATGACATCTACAAACCTAGTTTGTGGTATTTTGACCGTCTCCATTTCTTGAACGACCAGGACTTTGCAAGACCACGTAAGTGACATTTGACAAGAAATCGTTTCAATGTATCATAGCGTATGAACAGTGCTCTACTCCTTCGATTTGTTGAAGCGATGAATCGTTCAATCAATTGTTACGATTTATCGTAGCGTGTAAAGCCCCCTTTAGTATCCACAATCGTGATAACTGGACAATGTCAACTAAGGAAACACCTCCATAATATGGGGCTAGTGGACACACCTCTATGCAGGATGTGTGAACAGGAAGATAAAACTGTCATATTTTATGCGAGTGCCCGGAGTTATCGTCATTAAGAGAGTGTGTGTTCGACGAGTCTTGGCCTACACCTGCCGATATAAAGGAGATTTCTCCCAGTGACCTGTCCACCTTCATAGAAAGGACAGTATGGACGATGACCTAGGAGGACAACTCCTCGGGAGGAAGTACAATGGGTCACATGTGGCCTAAGTGCTGTGAGCTTATACTCACCCTCCCTACTCTACAGTTACAGAACTGGCTTTAATTTTCATCTCGTGTTAATAGTTTAACTTTTTTTGATTTTTTGGTTATTATATGAATTTTATTTCATTGTAATTTCAGTTTTTTGCTTAATATGATTGTCATTTTTCAGCTAATCACTTTTGTAAACATTTTTTTCGGTATTTCAAATCAATTTATATCATACTAGACAATGGAATCCCGAACTAATCAAATACATATGTGAACTTTCGCTAGAGATATTAGGTGAGTTTTGTTCATATTCATCTATTCCAGATTCGACTCAGATGACTCAATTGGGAAAAAGATTGGTGTGGACCCACTGACGTTCAGTGTTTGTCAAATTCAACTTAAAAAAAAATTGAAAAAGTACATTTCTAGATAGAATTTAACAAAAAGTTACTTGAAAAAGTTATGTCTACGGNTAAAGCACAAACAAGTGCCGAAGTTAAACTTCATTGAAACTTTTCGAAAAAAAAGTTTCCCATATGGTGCGCACTTTAATGGTGACACTGTAGATTGACCCATAGTTAGACCGGAATATATTTTGAGAATATAAATATATATTTTGTTCTATATTTTGATTCAAGAAGTCGAACGGCCTTCTCGATAATATTGAAATTTTTTTTTTCACATTTGATGTTAGTTCGTTTATGGTTCATATTGTTCATTGAATATTTTACACATTGTCATTAATTTAGATATCATGCATAACGTTATCACTTTCATAAAACCCACACAAAAAACAATGACGCCTCATTTCACCCAATAAACTATCTAACTAGTGAAAAACTGACCGAGTTTATCACTTACTAGTAAAAATAATGACAACTACAAAACTAATGACAACTGAAGTTAACTGGTTCTTTTTTGCAATATTCCCACTTATTCATTTTTGATAAAACATAATTGTATTTGCATCATTATTTATCAAGGATCAATAAATTGACGGCTAAAATAAATATGAATATCGATCATCGGCGGCACCATCTTGCGGCAATGGCAAAACCACTCCACTTAGTCTACAATTACTGAAACAAAAGTGCATCCAGCATCCACCAGTGTATAGACATCTTGATACCCACCTAGGTTTTCCATACTCTGCGTTAAAAGTGCCTCAAATGTGTGTAGACTGTAACTTTCAGCATCCATTCCTTTGGCCAAAGTGTTCCTTAGGTGCATTTCGTATTCTAACAGAAGCCTACTAGTAGGTGAACCAGGAGTTGGTGTTGTGGTTGAGTTCTGAAACATTATATTACTCATTATGGGTCATTTAAATCACAGGTAATGTTTCAATGTACAAGTCATTAGTTTCACAGAAAAAAATTCACAGTTATCCAAAATTTAGAGTAGAAACACCTACTGTTATATTGTAACAAACCTAATACAGTCTCTCTAAGCTCTAACATTTCAAATTCTAAATCCGAACTTCGTAACTGCAAAGCGTAATTATGATATGCCAAATACGAGGGTGGGTTGAAAGGTTTTCGACCTAACAAAAATACGCGTGGGGCTCGATCTGGTGAGTAGTCCAAACCGTGGATTTTCGCCATGGCAACCGCTAAGGTTAGACAGTGCGTTGTCTTGATGAAACATGATTTTTTTCTTCTGCATATGTGGCCGCCCTTTCGCAAGTTCTGCTTTCAGCTTGTCAAGTGATGATACATAGTATGCTTCTGTGATGGTTTTTCTTTTTGACTATTCCAAAAAACAGTCGTCAAAAAAATAGTTTTTTGCCTCTTTTGGAGCCGGTTCCCCCTTTGCAGTCTACTGTTCGGACTGTATTTTTGTTTCGGGAGTATATTGGTGTATGCAAGTTTCATCTACACTGATTATTCGGTGCCAAAACTCAGATTTATTGCGCCCAAACTGCGCCAACAGAGCGTTGGAAATGTTCATATGTTTTTTGTGCCTGAATGTGGATTTAATATGTGACAAACACGTTTTTTTGATATGTTCATAACCTCTGCTCTCTCTCACTTCAATTCGGCGGTCATCTAGCAGCATTCGGTGAACTTTGGTGATGTTTCCGTTGGTAGTTGCATTAAAAACGGTAGAAACCAATATCTTAGCACTCAAAGGTACATCAACTCTACACATCTTTTAAAAATTCACAAGTAAACATGAACGCCCATGCATTCCAGATGTTTTGTATAAATATGGAAAAACTGTTCAAAAGCCGTTTTTTATGGAACATGAATGTTTGTTTCAGATGTTTTCTGGCGAAGTGAAGAAATCCATGAGAATACTGAAATGAATTGATTTGTTCAAAAATATGTAGAATTGTAAGATTTAATGTCAAGTATGTATATAATAATAAAAACGTGTCTATGATTTGCCACGTTCTTATATATATTCTTATATAT